AAGGGGCTGACGTTGTGTCCTTGGGAAAGGCACTTTACACGAATTTTCCTCACTTCACCCAGGTGGGAATGGGTACCCGGCTATAGACAGCGAAAGATCTTGTCAGTTTGTTAGTGTTTGAGCGCTTAATCGGCTGCTTGCACTGTATGCTTCCCGGGAAGCTGAGAATGTTTCGGAGTGTTCTATGGTCTGCTGGGGTAATAATATAGTGTAAAGCGCATAGAGCCTGCTGTTGAGTGGGGATATGCGCTATACAAATGCTATCTATTATTATTATTATTAAATGGGCTGATTCATCATGTCACGCTCATAACTGTGCCAGATCTACAACAGGGAACTGCTGCTTTTTCTTTCCTAATCCTTACTATTGTCATTTTCCTCAACTTCTTTTGTATGTTTGTCACTCTCTTGTGACCTGCTATTTCTGGGGTGCCTTGATAGTCGAAGCAGACCTTGTGCTGTTGAAGCTAGAGAGGTGAGCAGAGTAAGTCCGATTTCCTGTAAAGACTTCTCTGTTGACATCCACCCCTTGGCGCTCATATGACGTTATGCAGTTGCTCTACTAAAACCCCCCCCCCCAAAAAAAAATTTGAAAAAAACGGGGACAGTTGTCCTCACCGTGGACCAAAGAGCTGCGAGTGGGCAGCAGAGTGTCCCAGAGGCAGACGTTCTTGAGCTCCGACGACTGGCCGGCTGTGGCGATGAGGCTGGAGGAGCCCACAAACTGGAAGTCACTGGTGGTTCTGTTGTGGCACTGCAAACTCTGTACACAGGGAGGAAAAACATTTCAAGCAAAAAAAAATTATTTTCTTTTTGGTGTGTGTGTGTGTGTGTGTGTGTGTGTGTGTGTGTGTGTGTGTGTGTGTGTGTGTGTGTGAGTGTTAAAAAGGGTTAATACAGCCAACTGCATACACTGTTGGCAGCAAAATGTTTTTCAATATGGTATTTAAAAAAAACCCACAACTAATTCAGGCCTCTCAGGTAGTTAAAAAAAATTTAATTTATCTTTTTTAAGGGGGGGGGGGGGGGAGGAGAGATACTTGGTGGATCTGTAGTATCAATAATATAAATCTAAACACACAAAGTCTATATTAAGCAGCAGTAGCAAACCTCGATTACAAGTAGGCCTACAGCATTTTACCATAATAAAACGTCAAGCTTTTGCTCCTTTTCACTCAGCCTATTATGTTTCCCACCTGACCCGGCTTGTAGCAAAAACACATTAGTCAAAGCCTCTCGTCAGCAAGCTGTTCAAATGTCTTACTCCCAGAAATCAAAACTTATCATGAGAGAGGAATAACTCTTTTATTCTTTTAACAACCGAATCTAATTTATATATCTTTCCAACCCTTAGAATATAATGAATTTTGACAAAATATTTCCTGAGAACAGGGAACTGCTGCTTTTTCTTTTGTTTTGACCATGCCATTTTCTTTCATCTGGCGCTTTTGTGTTTAGTAATAATAACAAACTGTGCTGCATTTTGGGTTTTGAAATTAGCTGTTAGTCATGCAACTGATACTATTACGCAAGAAACTGTAATAAATAGAACTGTCAAAATGTTGTACATCTGAGCAGCTGGCTAGCTCTACGCATCACTAGACAGACCACTAATCGCAGAATTATCTATCTGCTCAGCGCCTAGTTTTGAGAAATTAGACGTCAAAGATTTTGAGTTTCACTTCATTTCAAGAGTTTCACTTCATTTCAAGCTTTTAAAAAAAATGCAATTCTTTGAATATCTTGACAAGTTTGATAAAACAGATAGAACATTTTGTTTCGGACCTCATGGTCTTAGTACAGTAACTCAAAACGGCCAAACAAGTCTGATAGAACATGGTAATTCTGAAGTAGCACAATGACAACAAACAAGTCGTGTTTCTGCTCACCATGATGGGCTTGTTGAAGCTGCTGCCGAGGCCCACCTGCCACAGACAGATGCTGCCCTCCGTGTCGCTGACACAGCACTGGGACAAACACAAGGACATGGTCAAACTTTATAATCAAGTCATTCTGTCCCCATGGTTTTATGCACTCCGCTTAATTTAGCAAAATTTAGCAAAATTTGATCATTTTTTGCATAATTTTCCTTTATCATTCTTTGTTAAAATTAACAGAATCGCATAATTTCACATTTTTGGGCTCAGTTTGCATAATTTCAGAACTTTCCTTGCATAAAACGACGGGGACAGGTCATTGCACTCGGGTGAAGAGATATTAAAGCACTTGCAACACAATAAGGTCATATAAGTGTCCAAGATTAGAAGTTTTAGTTTTAGTAAATGTATTGTGGCACTTGCAACACAATAAGGTCATATAAGTGCCAAAGATTAGAAGTGTTACAAGAGAGAAACAAACACAAAAAAATAGGACAGATAGGGAAGGTAGACGTCTGATAGGAAAGAAGGAGCAAACCACACCAGAGCATCTGCCAACCAACTGCATGGCAGAGGTAAGCCGCACAAAAGATGGACTGGGTGAGTCAAGGGAACCCTGAGAAAATATTACATCTCAAGTGAAAGGGCTGCTGAGTTGGCCTACCACTGAAAACTGCATCTCCCCTCGACACTATTACCAGCAACAGAGGATGAGAAAGTAAAAGTAAAAACAATCACATGCTATGTATATTAAAGAAAAAGGGGGAGAGGGTACTGAAAAAAATAAAAATCTGTTAACTTCACCCCTTTCAAAAGCCTATGAGTAGAAGGGAGTTGTAGCTTACAGCCAGTAAAATCAAGTTTGAGGAATGGTTTTACAGCAATTGCAACGCAAATAGGTCATTTTAGTGCCCACGATTTAGAGGCTTTATTGAAGAAAAAGGAAGAATGATAAGAATGATAGACTTTTGATAGGAAAGAAGGAACACCAGAATCAGAACACCTGCTGGCCACCCAAATGGCCAATAAACAAAACAGCATCAGAGCGTCTGTTTGACTGAAGAGAAGCCCATTGACACAGCACATGTATTTTGGGGGGGGGGGG